CAGGAGGTTGGCTGGAACTCGCGCTATGAATTTCGTGACAGACAGACATTCAGACACACACACACACAAAAACACACAAACAACCCTTAGCCCGTTATTATAAGTTATGATGATAGATTTTCTTGGAGACGCTTCATTTTTCCCTCTAGGTTCTAACAACACCGCATTAGAGATGAAATTCTCTCAGAAACAGCTGCTTCAAACATAGGGCAAAAAATCGGACACTAATAGTAGCGCGAAACCCCTAATTCCTAGCGTGCTCACCACTCTAGACCTAATACTTCCACTTATCTTGCCTGCTTCCACTCCTTTGAGTTTATTCCACTTATCGCTACAGATATCCAACAGACGAATTCTCTAAAACATTCCTGGAATCGTTTGTTGCAATAATTTAGCCTTCACCAAGAACAGTGACACTTTATTAGCTTGCATTTTGACCAAATCCCTTCTTCAGAGCCTGTGAATGACGGGCAGATAAGATTTGCCCCCCTCCCCCCCCCCCCAAGGCACCGTTCACCGAAAATGGGCTCGATGAAATTTTGATGCCTAACAGTAGCGGGGGCTCCAACCGTATACTGCCCAAGCACTGCAAAAATTGCTACCGAAGAAAAATTTCGAAATTTGCTTCGGATGACGTTGGCTTCTCTCTTTCAGTGGACGTAACGTTCGTCCCGCCCATCCGTGCGTACCTACCTACGTATCGCCGTTCCCGATCTAGCCCTGCGGGTTCCGCGGAACGAGGATTCTCGGATTGTCGCGGATTCTCGACTTGATTTGGAATTAGAAACGTGAGGAGGTCCCGGAACAACAAAAACACGATGCTTTTGAATGAGCAGTCAGCTGCAGAAGAAAGGTGGTATGCAATAACGGATGTGCTAATACAGGTCAGGAATCACCATTTATAAAACCTATGCTAAGTGACTACCAACTGAGATCCTAAGTTGCTGATTTTGTAGGCCAAACCTCACATAACTATGGAAGGGGAAGAGTTTGAGCCATAGCGATGCAGTCATCTTTGTTGTTTATGGGAATTTCTTCGCGGAACCCACATGCTCAGAAATAGATTTTTGGCCAGCAACAATCTATGATAGAAAAAACCAAAACTTATGTGAACATACAGAGATGTATCACGATGACACAGACGTCATGATGGCGTCTTGAAAGATGATAGTTTAGAAGAGAGTAGTGTTGAACTTGTTATACATTATTGCAACTAATATTCTCCATATACAGTCTAATCTAATGTCATGCTTTTCTCTGCGTTGTAAGGGTGTCTTCTGCGCTGGCAGCCGCCGCTAGCAACCCATAGCAGCCCGTAGCTGCCGCTGGCCGCGTTTGTTCATGGAAGCTTAAAATCATTAGATTCTTACTTACTTGGTGCACCTACCTACGCTTTCCATCTTCCACGCTTTTTTTCTTTTGCCGCCAATGTACATTTCGACTCTTACACGTTACAGAGATTATCAAGATAAGCCGATAGCCAAGGAAAAGATTGAAGAAAACTGAACTGTACTTAAAAGATGAACAAATAGCACTTCCACATAAACTGGACGCATCCAAAGTCAGCGAAATTACACTGCAAAACTCTGGCTGCCGGCGCGATAAGAAGGCACCTTAAGCCAGCAAATTATCTACTGCAATCAAAAAGCACGGTGAAATGTTTCTCGAGCGAGTATTCGATGCGTTCGCTTAGCTGCATTGCATGTTGTACGATAGTCTCTTTGCTTTTTGCCCCAAAAGCGGAGTCGTGCTTCCACAACTTCTGTGTGGGTCCTGTACGCGATAGAGAATACGATAATGCCTGAGTAACATCAAACTATTTATTGGCACATAAGTTTTGCAACTTTTCCCGTAACTTTTTTCCTATTTTATGCAGCAATCTCATTTTGTGGCATCATGTAGATCGTGATGTAAGCTGCAAGCCTGCGCAAACCGTTTAATTTTTGATAACGTAGTACAAAAAATCTGAGCATTTTTTGAAAACTGCTGAAAATTGAGGTTTCACGATTTTTTGGCAAACATGAAGCCCTACGAAACCTGATTCAAACATATGAAAAAGCATTTATAGGCAGCATGTAGCTGGAAGTTGGCACATTGGAATCAGTGAAAAAGAAATGGAATTTGAACACAAATTAAGGTGGGGCGCCTTTGAGAATTTGAACAAGTCAAATGCGTCAAGTTTTGAAGGCAATTTGTCAATAACTAAGCTGCGAAAAGTCAGAATTCGCTATAACTTTGCACTACAAGGTAATCCTATGCGGTAAACACGAAGATTATAAGCTCCTGCAAGACGAAGGCGGTTGGTTCGAAGCGCGACGTGGCTGTGACGCGGCTGTGACGCTGCTGTGACGCAGCCATGTCGCAGCCGCGTTGCACATTGAACCGACCGCCTTCGTCTTGCAAGAGCTTATATATTCATTTGTCGCTAAAATGAAATTCATCTTTTGATCTCACGAACGAGGCCTTTTCATGCGAAACGGATCTCATTTTTGTGATCAGCATGTCAAATAAGCCCTATAGGCCAAGTTTCAGCAAAATCTGATGCATTCTAAAATTTTTCCCATAGTACCGTAAACCTACCGTAATCCTCACATAATGGTAAAATTCGGCAAAAATGTGTGCATTAGAAGCTTACATCATATTCCTTATATAGCCAAAAAATGAATGCGCTAAGTTCAAATAGACAAAAGTTATATAAAAAGTTGCATTACTTGTGTGCCAACCTAATACATAATCTGCAAAGCGAAATGGCAAGAAGATTGTGCGTGCTCTGGCGTCATCTACCTTATAATATGTAATATCTATAGATATCAGCAAATTAGAGCGACAGAAAGACCACTGTGCTCTAGAATCAAGGGACACATGAATGGTATAAGTCAAACTATCTACGCCCCTAGGCACTTAATGCTAGCTGTAGCACCTCAGCATTCTGCCCCGAAAAATAGCGGTTGCCATACCCTCGATACATAGAGCCATGTACTCTGTTAACCTTTACTTTGAGGGCTATGAGGGGACACAACCTTCACCTGGAAAAAACAGAAGTCATCCGAGACTTTGCCCTGGATGTTATAATCCTGACTATATTGCAACGAATGTGTATGAAGCAAGTACAGGAAAGAATATCTTTAGATTATCTTAGATTATCTCATTATCTTATTAACTTTCATAGCCTTTTTTACCTTAAAAAGAAGGTTTCTGTAGAATTTTCGCCAGAATTCATGACAAAATTTGTCAGTTAACCTCTCATTTGAACAAAATCGAGTTTCAGAAGATTAGGAAAGCTATTGGAGTTAAATAAAAACGAGGAACTGCGCTTAAATCTTGCGCAGAAAGTCGCGCACGAAAACGCTGGTCTATCTCGTTAACGAGTGATTTTCACAGCTTGGGACGTTGTCAGTGTTCCTCGTCGTGTTATGACCATCAGAATGATGTATAATTATGCAGGGTTTCGTTGAGAACCCGCGGAGATCTACCACCAGAGCCAAATGCCCCTTCGGCTCTGGTCTGTCTCCGCTGCTCGTCTGCGTCTCCGCGCGCTGCGCGCTACCTCGCTACCCCAAACGCGGGGCGCGGGGCATTTGGCTCTGGTACCCTTTTCTTCGCTGTTTCCAATCCAATGTTAGCAAGCTATATATAATTTTGAAGCTCTTGATCTCTATTTTCAAGCTGACAATGTCCCAGAACCACATTTTATAATTTTATTGAGAAATCCGGCAAAAACCCTGTTTTCGAAAATCTCTTGTTTTTCTCCTAGTTTAACTCTTTTCACGCGATTTTTTCGTGGATTCTATAGATCATGCTTCTGTTCATAATGCAGACAACCACCCAGCCCTTACCTCTTCGATTATGGTGGAATTTTTTGCGAAAAATCGTGAAAAGTGCGTTTTTCTTTACCTTGTTCTGTCTCAGTGCTTTCGCATCAATTTTTTTCCAGCTTGGGCGATTGTTGCTCAAAACAATAAGCGCAACAATCCAGACAACGGTCCCAGGAAACAGGAACGTCAATGCGGGGGCAAAAATTCAAAGGACGCATCAAACATCAAAACCCCGTGTTGCGAATTGCTCCGGGAGCGAAAACTTGCACTTTGGAAAGCCGCCAGATGAAAGAATTCAAACCTTATTGTAGCGTTTTTATCCGATTTTCAGCAGTTTTTTCTGCTTTTTGTATCTGTTTTACGGCATGTTCTCTTCTTTGATCTTCTTTAAACAACCTTCACTATGTATGACGTCAGATGTTCAGACAACCTTCATTTTTGACGCCCTCTCTCTAGACTATCGAAGGTATGGCGGTTGCGCACACAAGACTCCAGAACATGTTGGATTGGACAAAAATTCTGAAGTGGACAAAAGATGAATGCACTGCTACTAGTATCGCGCCCTTTTTGGTTTTATGCGAGGCTCGAACTACAATCTCGTCAACACAAAATTCAGCTCCTTAGTCACTCAGCATAAGTTCATCAGTAGCGGCTGGCGACCTGCATTGGCACATCCAATTTGGCCAGTTTATTTTGGGCATCTTTGTTGCTTCAACATCGCCCTTTTTCAGCAGCTGACCGGACATTAGAGGGGAAGGGTGATTCTCACTTGTTTTTCATTTACAGGTTTTGAAAAAAGCGAGTTGGTCAAAGTGTTAGCTGAATTAATGTTTAGTAATCTTGATAAAGTATTTGAAGTGATAAATGAAATAAACTTGGAGGAATGGATGCAAACAAAATAAGTGAGGTATCGAGCTGAGTGGTGGGCATGGTGTGAATCATTTTGGAACCTAGACGACAAAATGATGCGCCTTCATAAATAAGTATAAATTTCGAAAAACTTTCCCAAAGAATGACGAGCCGCAAAAGTAGATAAGGTTTCTGAAAAAATAAATGAGACGATTTGGAAGAGTTTCGGCGGACCCGTAGCCTATGTCGAAATGTAAAAGCGCGCGTATCGGAAAATCGGAGTGAATGGCAAAGAATTACGTCAGCATTGCAATAACAATAAAGAAATCTCCCAACCTTGATCCAGAGATTGTTATGTCAAAGTCTATACTGTCATCATCACTCATAGCTCGTTTCGTTGCGTTACATTTCCCTGAAATTTATAAGACAGGTAAATGTTAACGAAAAGTTCTACGGAGGAAGTTTAGAGACATTTACACATAAGAACAGAGGAAGATACAGAGCTCATGTCAGCATGATCGTATTTGGCCACATGGGAAAAGTTTGCCAAATCAAGTCTTTCGAAATAAATTCCAGATTCCACTTTTTTAAACCCCGGCATCGAGTATATCTTAGAATCTTTTGAGTCAATTTCTAGTTTGATTAAGAGTAGTATCTGCAAACCGGTGTATGTCAAGAGGCTTGTCTTTTTGTCTTTATTACCAGACTAGCTGGCTTACCCGGCTCCGCCGTATGTTCCAAATTTAAAATTCCATTTCTTAACCGATCCGGACCAAACTTGACACACATACACTTCAGGCCCCGGCGGGTGTCACAGTCCACTTTTCGCAGTAGCCTATGACACCCGCCGGGGCCCAAAGTGTATGTGTGCCAAGTTTGGTCCCGATCGGTTCAGAAATGGAATTTTTTATTCGGAACATACGTACAGACAGACAGACATACAGACAGACAGACAGACAGACAGACAAACAGACATTCAGCTTTATATATAAGATGTACACCAAAAGCACATAATAAGTGTTTTATAACATTCTAAAAAGAGTTGCATGGGTTGTTTAATTTTGCTCTCTCTTGAAATCAATTCAAAAGAGCATATTTGAACGTCAAAAACCCATGAAAATGCAGCTAAGAACAAATCCGTGAGTATTTCGGTCCACTTTCCAGCAAAAGCCACCGAACTCGGCGAGTGTTAACCTCATACAGATAGTAATTCAATGCACTTTATGTGATACTTTTTAAAGACTCGCACAGCACTATACTGGAGTCTTGATTGGTGAGAGCCGGAGAAATCGCGGCTCCTGACGGTCTCCCGTGCAAATCCAGCAGAACAACTTTTTTAAGTACAACATTTTATGCACAAAGGTGTTTCGCAGCTTCTACCATCTTTTCCTTTCTTCAGTGTAGCCCTCTCAGTTACTCATAACACTTAGAATGCGATTACCCCATAAGACTGCGCAAACAGTTTTATTTTTGGTAACATAATAAATTAAATCTAGGCATTTTTTGAAAACTCTTGAATATAAAGTTTTTATGGTTTTGAGGGACGAAGACGTGTGCAACCTGAATTGACTACACCAACCAGTGAGGCAGCGTGTTATTAGAGGTTATAAACTCGGTAAAGTTGGAATTCGAAGACAAGTAGGAGTTCGGACGCCTCCCGAATTTGAACGAGTCGAATGCATCAAAATTGGAGGGTCTTCCATCGGTAACTAGGCTGCAATTACTCAGAATTTGCTAAGACTTCGCATAGTGGGATATTAGCATCCTGAACACAAATATCATATTAATTTGTTGTTGAAATAGAAAATCAGACTCTTTACGGAAAAGACCCTTTAATGCAAAATAAAATCCCATCAGCATGCCGATTCACCCGATCAGACGAAGTCTCAGCAAATTTGAAGCAATCCGACCCCCTATACCATAAATCTACCGTGACTCTTACAAGAACTAGCGGAATTTGGCTAAAATGGTTGCATTGTAGCAGGATGTTTGAGATATCAAAGGATGGAGCCCCACATTCAAAAAGACAAAAGTAATACAAAATTAAATTACTCATGCCAACATGATATTGGACTTTCACAACTTTTCTCGAACGGAACCTATCCATTCTCGCCTAACCAAGAATCTGAAGAGAGTTTTTTGCTTACCCTAGGGAAATAAGACATTTTTCTACATTCTCTTCATTTCTCCCAAGTATTCAAAGAAGTGGTGTGGAGCCAACACCTATTATACGGTTTATTCGGGTTATTGTGAAGAAGGAAATGTGAAAATATGAGCATTTTCCACGGAGAACATTCCAAGCAATGTTTCTGTTGTCAAAATCAAGGCACTATGCACCTTCAGCGTACTTTCTGCGCGCTGAGCGGCATAAATCATGTGCTTTTGCCAATCAAATCTCTGCTGTCGAATTTCGTTAGCGCATCTCAGCGTCCACAAGTGGCTAAATTCCGTCGCCTTAGCGAAACTCAAGCAAATAAAAAAGAAACCGGAAGTTCCTTCATGAACGAAAAGATTTTTGTGCATTTCTAGACAAATAAAAAGAGCAGCGGCAACAGTACAATAAATACACGAAATATTTGTGTATTTCGTGTAATGTTTCAAACAATAAGATGTTTCGATATACATATCATAACACATTTTTATGATGTGTTCCAAACCAAACCAATATAGAGTAATCTTCAAATCCAGTTGAAAATATGAGCGGCAAGCCAGAAGTGATAGACTGAGGCAGGCCGCCACGACAAGGGAATAAGTGCGAGTGGAAAGGAAAGGAGGAAAGGAGAGCAAGCTGGGAGGAGAAGCAGAGCGCAACCTTAATTTTGAATCCCGCTCCACAAATGTCGTGCCCGAGGCAGAAGATGAGTAAACACAGAGCATTCAAAATACGTGAGAAGTCATGGAAGTTGTGAATGTTGAAATGTTGAATGAAACTAGCAATAGATAAAATTATGCCTTTCAATACATTTTATCGAAAAGCAGTACATCAAAATGCAGGGGTTGAAAAAAGAGACCTTGAGACTTAATGACTACCATGTTTGTAACTTCAACTCCATTACCAGTCTATGAAAAGAGTGCAAAAAAGCTGCTTGCACCTACTCGCTCAATGGCTAGGCTCCGCTTCGCACAATTCACCATTTCGTAGGAGATGCGTCAAAAACTTTCACCACAGCTGGTGCTTAGTTTCTGGCAAAATTTGAAGCGCGCAGAATTAATACGTCCATCACCTTGGACTAAGAAACGATCTGAAATGACATGAGTCTCGAGCGGGCTAATCCGTGGGATGACAGAGGTATTACATCATTCGACATGAGCATGATTGGTCTGGCATCAATGTCCTAAGTGTCATTCTCCCAATAATTCCAATTAAAAAGGCTCCTTTCATTATCTGAAAAGGACATGCAGATCTCGGCGCAAGAAAATGAGACGTGGGAGATCTAAAGTGTTATTCGTTCCTTTTTTCTTTTTTTCCTCAGTATCACATAAGGATATTTGTTCTCATGGTCACCCTTCTCCTTGTGACTCTTGATTTAGCTTACGGGTGCATTACAAGTCCTGTTCGAAAAGAAATCGACCAATTAGCAGACATTCGAGGCAGATCCTTATAGTCAAGGGATGTAGTATAATCAATGATATTGCACAATGCTTCGAGTTTTCCTAGTTTTCTAATAATTATTTGACTACTACCTTTCACTGTTGCGCTTCTATCAATTCTTCTCTCATCACATATAATATAGAGGTAAGAATAGTAAAAAAGAAATAGAACATATAACAAAAGCAGTTTTTTGTTCCAAGGAGCTATAAACCCATCTTTGACTGTACAAGACCGATTCGCACCCTTCAGATGTCTTTGAAATAATTTATATTATGTCCCTCAACGACTGACCGAGAGGGTGGAGGGGGAGGATGGGGGATGGGGGGCAAAATTTCTTGAAAGGCTTATATGATTTATGAGATTGTCCAAATGACATTCTTAGATAACTCCCGAATTTTGAATCCAAAAACTTCAAAAACACAGGTCCGCTAGTAAGCAAAAAAATCTTGGAAGATGACTACCGCCACGCCCGCTCTATCAAAAGGACTTTTTGCCCCCCCCCTCTCCCCCTCCCCGGACATTGCTTTCAAAGATCACTTGTTTCCTCATACAATGATATGCCAAAATAGTATCCAAGCTGAGAAAAACTAATAATAAGCATCCAGATGCATAACCGTCATAGAGAGCTCACAGTTGAAAAGAAATCTTACTAACGACCTTGTCAGCCCATTAAAATCCAAAATGTTTTTGATTTTCTGGCCGTGTCAAAAAGTCTATCTCTACATTTCGCCCATAGAGAACGGTTCATTTTCTATGTAATGTACTTCACAAGTGTGCTGACATTGCACATCGCCTGGATACCATTCGCTGTCTCCGTGTGCGGCCGCCGGAGTCGGGTGCTTCTTTCTTTGTCAAAATCAAAATTTCTTCGTCTGTCATTTACATACCAAATTGACTGGACTATTATAGACACTAGTGATCGTACAAGACACCAACGTTCTTTAGTTTGAACGACAGCAACTCAAATCTGAACCAATGCCGCGTACACCGCAAAGCAGAACCAAGTCGGGAACGGAGAAGACCCAGAAACAAAACCAAAATCAAAAGAAATCCTCGAAAATCCACAATTTCCCGCAATTACTAAAACTTCCAAGAATTCCAAAGAAGAAACCAACGCCTAAAAAAGGTAAAATTTGTATTTGTTGACAAGACCTATCGCTTGTGAAAAACGTTTTCAGACCGACAAAAAAGAATCAAGGAAAAAGCTAAAAAATTGCCTAAAGCCGGTAGCGCGACGGTGCAAACCCCGAACGATGGGGTAAAAACACCTGCCACTGCACGATCAGTGAATAAGTCACAGCCATCGAATGCGATGAAAACAGCAGAACACTTGGAAGAAGAGGATGTGTGTTTCCATATCGAAAAGTCGAACAACGAGAAGCCAGAGATTAGCGTGAGGGTCCGTCAATGGGCAGTTCGCAAAAAATGAGTAGAACACTTCCAGACAGATCTCGACTCGATCATCGTCGATAAAAATCCGTTAACGAAAAAGACTGTTCAGATGGCTTTAATTAAAAGTTTGGTGGTACTTTTCTCAGTAAGGTACACAATTTTTGAGAATTTATTTTCAAGAAATCCATGATGCCGAAACGGCCGAAGTACAGCAGGCTGAAGCACAAAATGAAAATGTTGGTTCTCTTTCATTTCGCTATTTTATCCTAGCACACTAATGAGTCTGCGAGAAAGGCCACAATGCTATTACAGCGTTTTCCATTTCTCCAAAAAAAAAAGCAAAAGTGCTCTTTCGAGAGCTCAGCTTGGAACTTGCCAGCGGAGTCTGAATTGCTCACGAGTTTTTTTTTTCATAAATTTGCAGGAAAGAACTAGTTGAGGCTTTGCGGTCGTCTGCTAAACATCTTCCATTGTGATGCATCCTCTAGCAGGAGATAAAAGAACATTGGACTACTCTGAAGCTTTATAAACAAAGTACGAATCCGTCTAATTCACTAAGGATGTGTGCGGATTATTATTCATCTCTATTCGAAGCTCCACTTTCTTTGAAAGCACCGTTCACCCAAAATGGGGTTGATGAGATTTTGATGTCAACAGTGGTGGGGCTCCTCAACTGTATAGTTTTCCAACTTGCGCTGGTAAAAGTTGTTTTGAAAAGAAAAAATTGCCGCTAAAGCGGTTTCTGGGAACGGGGGTTTTCTGAGGTTTTCGCGGATTTTCGATTTGATATTCGGAATCAGGGATATGAGAAGGCCCTGGAACAGCAAAAACATAGAAGTAAAATTTGGGTAGATGTCTGATATAACCCCCACAATGGTCGGTCGCCTCATCGTGGCGTGGGGGTGACACTGGGTGTCGAACTGCGATGCACAGCCGAGTGTATACTCTGGCAGGGCCTCCCAAGCTGTAAAGGAGTTCGACGTTTCCGGTTTCGGCCGGATGCCTAGCTAAGAACTGGCCGCGCCAGATTCTCCGCCGTCTGGCTTCTTCTGGTCGCTAGGCGGTCCCTCCCCGCTCCAAGCCCGGGGTCAGCGATCACCCCGTGGAAATCAAGAGTAGGCCTAGTAAGCCACCTCTTGTAGGGGAACAAATTTTATTACTCAGACAGCAAGAAGATTTAGAAAAAACCCTGTACATCGGATCCCGCCTACGGCGCCGGGTGGTAGCAAGAACGATGTCAGGGTACTCAGGGCGCCTTTCGGATTGGACAAAAACGACATGTCTGCCCGGACGACACGCCATGGAGACTGCCTCATGCTCTGCACTTACAACGCCAGGACAGTCTCCACAAACGCCGACCTCCACGCTCTTCTCGACGCTGCAGAGCACATCAACTACCACATCATTGCTCTGCAGGAAACGAAGTCCAGGAAGAAGGACGTGCGACAGATGAGTGATGGGACCCTCATCATTCGTGGTGAAAAGGTTCCATCACGAAACGTGGGAGGCGTCGGCTTTGTCGTCCACCCATCTATCGTCCATCTTGTCGATTCGCACGAGATCCTATCACCTCGACTAGGCATCCTACGACTACGACATCCACATCAGAAGACCATCAGCATCATCAACTGCTATTCTCCAACATCAGCAGCTGACGAATCAGAACTAGATGCTTTCTACGAAGATGTGGAGGAGGTCGTCCGCAACGAGAAGTCCTTTTACAAGTTTGTTGTGGGCGACTTCAACGCGAAAATCGGGATGCCACTGGAAAGGGAATATAGGATCGGGAAGTTTGGATATGGGCTCCGGAACGAAAACGGCAACCGTCTTGTTGGGCTTCTCTCCGCCGCACGACTTTTCCATGGAAATTCCATCTTTATGAAGAAGGAACATCGCCGGTGGACATGGGAATCGCCCAACGGAACGACCCACGCGGAGATCGACCACATTCTCACCAACCGAAGGTGGAGCTTACTCGATGTCTCTGTAGTTCCATCCTTCTGTAGTGGCTCCGATCACCGCCTCCTTCGAGCGAAGATACGACTCAGCCGAAGGCTGGAAAAGAAAGTCTGTCATAGTGCCGCGAGAAGGAAGGAAGTCGTTTATGACGGTAACAGGCTGGAAGAGCTCATATCAAGTTGTGACTGGCCCATCGAGGAGGACCCAACGTACGACTACGACCGGCTTCTGAAAGGATTGCGAGCCTGCGGAGAATGCGCCTCAGTGACTTCTGAGAAGAACTTGGACCGCATCTCGAAGACCACCAAGGAATTGCTCGAAAGAAGAAGATCATTGAGGCAGGATCCGAATGCAACTCATCTCGAGCGACTGATTGCCAACACCAGTTGCAGAACAGCTTTGCAAGAGGATCTCAGAAAGTACAGGCAAGCCAAGATACTGGAAGCAGCAGAAAGAAGACGAAGTCTCAAGAAGTGCCGAAGGGACCTCTGCGAATATCACGTACCGCTGGCTGCACTACTGAACGAAGACCGGACTCCGACTTCTTCCCGATACAAGATGGAATCTATCGCGAAGAACTTCTACACCAACCTCTTCCGCTCATCAACACCCGTGCAGATGCCCGTTGTTCCCACTGGAGAAGTACCACCACGAATTCTACCTGCTGAAGTGCGTATCGCGATACAGACCATGAAGACGTCCACGGCTCCAGGACCAGATCATCTTTCCGTCGAACTTCTGCGAGCCGGAGGACACCGTCTACACGAGATTCTAGCGTCGCATTTGACATCTTACCTTCAGAAGGAAAGGATTCCCGACCAGTGGAGAACATCAAGAACCGTCCTTCTTTTCAAGAAGGGTGAACGGGAAGATCTTCGGAACTATCGTCCAATATGCTTGCTGAGTGTGCTGTACAAGCTTTTCACGAAGATTATTCTCGCTCGCATATCAAGGACACTGGATGAAGCCCAACCCCAAGAACAAGCTGGATTTCGCAAAGGATTCAGCTGCATGGACCACATCCAGACCGTTTCGAGGGTCATAGAAGTCTGCCGGGAGTACCGACTGCCTCTCGTCCTAACCTTTGTCGACTACGAGAAAGCCTTTGACAGCGTCGAAACCAACGCCATCCTGTCTGCGCTAGTCGATCAAGGAGTGGACCCAGCTTACGTGAGGACACTAGCCGACTGCTACAAGGACTGTACAACGACGATGCAGCTATTCCATCGCCCCCTGACCATACCAATCGGGAAGGGGGTCCGACAAGGCGACACAATCTCGCCGAAGCTGTTCACCGCGGCCTTGCAGTGGGTGATGAAGTCACTGGACTGGGACGAGAGAGGCATACGAGTTGATGGGAGATTCCTGTGCAACCTTCGTTTTGCGGACGACATCGTTCTCTTCTCGAGCAGTATCACCGAAGCAGAGACGATGCTGAAGGAACTAAACGAAGTAGGGAAGAAGATCGGACTGCGAATAAATCGGAAGAAGACTCAGTTCATGAAGAACGCCCTTTGCGAAGATGCAGAAATGGAATTGGAAGGCACCCCGATTATGGAGACGTCTTCCTACGTGTATCTCGGACGTTCGATGAACATGGAGAACGACTTGAGGGGAAGAACTCAACAGGAGAAGAAGAGCAGCCTGGGCCGCCTTCGGGCCCCTGAAGGAAGCCACCGACCAACTGACGGACCCGGAGCTTCGTGCCCACCTGTTCGACTCAACCGTTCTCCCGGCGCTCTGTTACGCAGCTGAGACTTGGGCCGACACTGTAGCCACGTCGAAAGCTCTACGGACCACCCACAGAGCGCTCGAGCGCAGTCTTCTGAAGATGACCCGACGCAAACAACATCTAATCGGACTTCGCAGCACGGATATGAGAAGAATGTCCCGTCTTCGTGACCCAGCGGAATACGTCGCGAAAGCCAAACACCGATGGGCCGGTCACATAATGAGAAGAACAGACGACAGATGGACACTAAGAACATCGGAGTGGATTCCTCGCGAAGCCAAACGTCCCCGAGGAAGACCTCCAACGAGATGGGCAGACGTGTTCGTGGAACGGATGGACCAGCTGAGAAATCAGCTGGATACGATTTTTGCACCTGGAACTCGTGGACGCAGCCACCGACGTCAGCCAAGAAGATCGTGGATGTCAGAAGCGAGGGACAGGGAAAAATGGAAACTTCTGAGCTGGGGCCCGCACGTCACGTGAAGCCGGGCCATCTAAGTATCTAAGTAAGTAAGTCTGATATAAAATATTCAATAATTGCATGTCTGCAGAAATTTATGATATAGAGATTACCTGCTGCTGAGAAATTCATTAGAATGAAATTAGAAAAGAAGATATGTTTGAACTCCAAGGGCGTCTGATGCAAGCTGCATTTACATTTGAGGCATTTAGACGTTTACTTTGGGATCTGCACCCGAAAATAAAATTTTCGTTCTGAAATAATGAAGTGCCTATGGCTGAAAATTGATGCCGTTTTTTTGTGAAGGGTAAACATATTCGAGAATGCTTTAGGTGCTGAAAGAAGGGATCATATCTCGAGAACGGGTTTTTATATGAGTTTCAAAGTTCCTCCCCTCAATATTAGAATGTTTCACGAGCTGGTACACATGTAGTCAACTCGGTGACGAAGTTTGCATCTCTGAGAGTTCAGTTATGCATGGAGAATATACAACGATACCGCCTTTGCAACTAACTACCGAAACATATCGCCTTTGCATCTAACCACCGAAACAAAGTCCAGCCTTACTCTACGACAAGGACATTTTGGAGTAGAGGGGTGTAGACTACATGTCTCCGTTAGGCTTCACCGTCCTTGAACAGCTTGCACAGCTACATGTTTGTGTAGAGATGGCTGTTTGTTGCGAATGTCCGCGCGAGACTTCCCCTTCGCACGGTCGTTGGGATAGACGAGCATCGCCAATATAGATGGCTGATTTTTCGCGCTTTTCGCGCTGCGGAATCCCAAAAAACCGACCGCTAGTTTCTGCAAAGCAGCTTGTTGACATAAAACAAGCCTTCGGTAAAGCGCGTCTTCTTTTTTCCAAAATTCTGCGAGCTAAGTGAGGGTAAAGACTAATGGTTACCAGTGGCGGACCGAGGGCGGGGGGCGGGGGAGCCCCCCTCCCCGAGAATGGGTCGCGAAATTTTTAAAACTTACCTATATGGGTTATAAAAATGTGCAAACGACTTGTTTAGCACCTCAAAAAATTTATCGATGTGCGTGGCTACCGTCACGCACCTTCATTTAGCACGTTTCGGACCGCG